TTCTTTCCTTTATATTAAGAGAAGGTAAAGAGAATGAGAAATTCAATCGACATCGAATGCCGCTATTTCTTTTCGGTCCTAATTCAGTTTTAGCTCAATGCTGGTATGCTTCTAGTTCTAGTTCAGTTCTAGTTAAGTTCTACTTCAGTATTAGTTCTAGTTAAGTTCTACTTCAGTATTAGTTCTAGTTCAGTTCTAGTTCAGTTCAAGTTCAGTTCTAGTTCAGTTCTAGTTCAGTTCTAGTTCAGTTCTAGTTCAGTTCTAGTTCAGTTCTAGTTCTGTTCTAGTTCTAGTTCTGTTCTAGTTCTGTTTTATTTCAGTTCTAGTTCTGTTCTAGTTCTGTTCTAGTTCAGTTTTAGTTCAGTTTTAGTTCTGTTCTAGTTCAGTTTAGTTCTGTTCTAGTTTATGTCAGTTCTAGTTCAGTTTTAAGTCAGCTCTGGTTCAATTCAACAGCATACAAATTCCTTTGATTGAAATCACAAACTTCTTGAGGCAATTATTCTCAAACAGATTGAAATTGATTTTTGGCAGATCCCTAATGCATGTGTCTAATTGTTTGTATATATGTGTATAAAAGTTTATGTGTCATTGTTTGTTTTATTCATAAATAAGTTTCTCCAACTCCTTTGTAAGGAATAATTTTGCCCGAAATCCAATTAAAATCTATATGAGCTTTTATACTTTTAACATTCCTATATTCGAAGACATTCATATAAACTCCAATCATAACAGGATAAAATTTATAGTTATGGGGCAAAAAAGCAGAAAAAAAATTCGAAAATGTAACAAATAGGGCAACACACATACATGTACATATGTATGTATGCATGTATATTGCAGAAAAATCTATGTGTATATAACTCAGGGTAGCAATTTATGGTTACAATTTTATGACACTTTTTGTAAAACTTCTTACATATGAAGAAGGCCCAGTGAACATTTTTGAATAATAATAAAGATAAAACATTGATGTTATTACTAGAATGTTTACATTTTGAGATATATTATCTGGATGCTTGTGTCCTAAAATATGTTTGCTGGTATATATTTATATCTTTTACATGTCGTCTATGTTTGAATGTCATTCTGGGGTTAGATCATATGAAATACGAACTCTTAAAAGAAAATTTACATTTATTGATATTTGTTGTAGTATAAAATATACCCACACTACCACATACACAAAACTTCCAAACTTTTAAGGAAGTACACAAATTTTTCCCCAAAAAAAAAAAAAAAGAAGAAGTGGGACAGTAGACGGAGAAAAAGGTTAAGGAGCTGGTGTTGTAGGTGATATGTAGTAATATAAGAAGTTGGTAGAGTTGAAAATTGTGGGTTGTAATGGTTAAATAAAATTCTTATTTTATTTTCTTATTTATAATATGGGTCACCAGAAGCAAAAGAATATAAAGAAAAAGGTTTGTGTTTCCTTTTCTTGTTTAAAAAAGAAAAAAGCATAGAAACCATACATATGTTTATTATATTTTGATGATAGTTGTCATAAATATTGAAATACTTATATTTAAACACAACTCAATATTATGTACAATATACATTAATATTTATATATTATTTTATATGGTATGTGTGTGTTTATGTTTGTATGTCATAATAGTATATTCAATTTTATATAATAGAAGAAGAATATGTGTAAAATGTTCATTTGTTTGTAAAAATTATACAGCTCATTAAATTGCAACTTCCAGTTAAATGAATTTTCTTCTTTTTCTACTTAGTCTTTGTCTTTGTGAATGTGTGTGTTTTTGTTTCATAATTGTCTCATAAAGAGTTTTATTATAATTTTGTGTGTTAAATAACAGCAGCAGCAACAACAACAATATGCACAAATATAATAAAATTATGTTTAAATTGTTTGTTATAATGAAAGTATTATTTATTATTTAATAAATTAACTAAGGGTCATTTAAATTTTAAACTTGAGATTTAAATAGAGGAGTTAAGAATTGTATAATTAAAATACAAGTGTTTCAATTTATTTTCATATAATTATTGAGTTAAAATATTGCAAATATAAAGAGAAAAACTTCTAACTTTTAAATGCTAATAAACAAGTACGAATTAATAGTCTCTGTAAATATGTAGAGAAATAAAAAAGGAGAATAAAGGAGCAGCAGGATGAGTTTTTAATACATAAAAAATAACTTGAGTTATCGGAAACAAACGCAATAGACACAATTAAGAATTTATAGTCGGACATGGCCGACCATATGATACCCTACACCAGTGATTATGTTACAAATTTTGATTATATAATAATAAAGTATTTAATTTATTTTTAACCTTAATTCAGAAATATTTTAACAATTTGTTGACAAAAAAAGGGATTTTCTAATAGAGTTGTTATATGGGGGCAGAGGGTTAATATGGTGCTATCCTTGTAAATGTTGGTAGATGGATTTACATCTACATCAGTTATTTATGCAGAATATCATCGCGATATTAGTGTTTATAAGTGAATTTTGACCATCAAGTCATTTTCTGAAGGGAACTTTGTGTGGGCGATAGGGTCAAGCGAGGCCCGATCATTACGAAAATCAGCAGTATCATTAAGACTTATATAAAACTAAGTTTTACCGATTTTTAAAGTGATACAAGAACATTTAACATATTTATGTACTCGAAAGCCCCATTCGGGGGGTACGGTTATATGGGGGCTATTTGAAATAATGAACCGATTTTAATAATTTTCAATAGGGTTCGTCCTAAAGAAGAGCATGTGCCAAATTTATCAAATTATCTGTAGAGCGCGTACAAGGTTTACATGGACACACAGACGGACATAGCTAAATCGACTCAGAAAGTGATTATGAACCGATTGTTATACTTTAAATATTAGGACCAATATTTTTGGTTGTTATAAACATCAGCACAAGCCCATAATATCCTCCATACTATAGTGGTATAGGGTATATAATCTTGCAAATAAGAATCTTCAAAGTTTTCCCAAGTTGATTTAAGATATTTGCTTTGATAAATTATGTTTTTAGGGAAAATTTTTGATAATTATTTTTCTTTATAGAAAAATTTAGATTATGTTTTTATTTTTGGAAAATTCCCGATACATTTTTTTAATGTTAGAACAATTTTTAACATTAATTTTAAAAAATTGTCCTAAAGGAAGGATGGAATTTTTGTTTATTAAAACATTGGGACATTTTTCTTAAAATCTCTTAAACTAACAAGCAAACTGCTTATTTTTTAACATATTAATTTTTATTTTGTTTAAAAATTAAACAAAAAATCCTCAATTTAAAGATTTTCCTTGCAAAAGTTTTCTTTATTTTACATTCTAATCGTTATTTTCTATATAAAATAATATTGACCTAAATCTAAGAAATTGTTAAGATCTAATTGAAAACTTTTGTTTTACAATTTCCTTCCTGTGTTTCGGTTTCTACTACATATATACAAAAATAAAAAACAAATTAAAAAAGAAATAAAATTCTTATAAGCTTAACACAAGCCTCTCACTCTTAACTGTGTATTAAATTTAATTTAGACACTTTAGCTAACTTAATGTAAGAATTACGGAAAAGTAGGTCCTTTAAGCAAAGAAGAAGAAGAAACAGTCCTTAAACACAAAACAAAGCAGATTTAAAAGAAGAAGTATAAGGAGAAAAAAAAACAACAAGAAGAACCTGTGCTCAAACAAACATAAATATTACGATGTGAGTGTAAAGGTGCACTCCTACAACACAACACATACATTTGTAGACACCTACTTATGTCGAAGTTAGCTAAACTTTTTATTGTAACTCGTTTTAAGTTGAGTTAAACCAACCACAATCGTATGTGTTAAGGAAACCTCATAATGTAAGAGTTTGTTGAGGGGCTTATGTGTAAAAGGTCACATGTGACAAATTTTTCTAAAATGTAAATTTGGCTTTATTTACAAATAAAATTTATACAAAGTTGTAGGCAAACAAAGAATTGTATACAAATTTTATATGAGGGAATTTAATGTTAAGTCCTTTTTCCCTTATACTACAAGCAGGATGATAGAAATTTATGCATTTTTCAAGTATGTACAAGTTGAGAAATTTCCTAACAAAAAAATACAAAAAAGAAAAACAAGCAAATAATACAGTAGGAATAAGAATAAAAGAAATATATACAGGTGCAATTGGTAGAAAGAAACTTTGCTTTGCTTCCACTTCTTGTATTTATGCCATGGCAAAGGTGTGAATCGATAAGTTTGTTCTCTTTTGTATGCATCTTGTAACGGAATTCCTTTTAATGTTCCAACAACATACAACTACACTCTACCAAGTGTCTTGTATGGGAAAGAGTAAAAGGCTCAAGGACATTGTTTATATACCCTACATATGGATATGTTTTGTTATGATTAGATACGAATAAGTGGAAGAATACTTGCATATAGAGTGTATATGTTAATGTATGTATGTAAATGTAAAAGCTTTCCAAGTGTATTGTATTCACTTAAAAGGAAAGAAAAAGTTACTTTGTCAGGATGTTAGAATTGCATATAAATTGAAAGAGACAAATACAAAATGTATTGTATTGCATACTTGATATTTAAACAATTTTAATTTTAAAGTCTTTTTTTAAAAAAAATTCTTTTTGCATGCAATTCATGGAAAATGGCAAATTATTTGTTGAAAGATTTTTTTTTTGTGTGTGAACATGGGAAGTAAAAATCTTTAAAAATAAATGAAATTTTTTCATCAAAGCATTTTGAAATTCATTAAAAACCTTTTTTCTTTAAAATATTTTTAATTTTAAAATTAAAAGTTTAGTTTGTTAATATAACCCAGCAAATATATTACAATGAATGATTAGCAAACGAAATGTCTATCTGAATAATACAATTACAATCATACATGCATCAATAACTTTAAATTATGACAGTGGTTTTGTAAAAGTTTTGAATCTGTCTATACCATTTGTTAACTTCCTTTAAACAGAAAATATAATTTTCTTTTCTATTGATTTGACAAATCTTAATCTATTTCTTTCAGATTCTTACCATTTATTTGTGTTTTATAATTCCGGGAAATTCTAGGGAAAAAATTGTCTCCTGAATTTGTATACTTGGTAAGTGATAAAGGATAAGAAAACGAGTCCTTATTTTTTATTTTAGATATATTACTGACTATTATTGTCACTTGTTTATCTGTTTGTTTTGATTTTTTTTTTGCCTAACACAAAGAGGTTGACAAATAATGTTATTATTAAAATGTCAAAATGTTTTGCAATTGATTTGTCATCTGTCACTTCAACAACAATAATATTAAATACAAAAACACACTCACACTACAAAACATACAAATATAAATAGACAAAAAATATATATATAATCATACCACCATCATCAAAAACATTGATATCATAAAATCTCTTATTAAAAAAGTGTTTATAATCAATATGTGGGAGTTGGAAAGTTTTTTTTTTAGTTCCATGATTTGAGTTGAAGAAAATTTCCTAGCTAGTGTATTTAACATTACAGACAAAGGAAAATGACATAAGTTTGTCATGTCCTGCTGATATGCGAGTACTAAACAATATTTAGCCGTCTTAACACATACATACATACATTCACATTATTCTCTATTTGGAATTTCTTTAATACTCGGAAGTTAAAATAAACCTTTTTGTACTATTGTACTGAACAAGTATATTTGTGATTTTTTTTGTATTTATCCATTGAAATTTATCGAAAGCTAAAGCAAAAAATCTTCGAAAAACAGTTGGTTGCTTATTTTTCTTAGAAAACAACACTTTTTTCTAAAGGGTCTATAAAAGTCATCATAAATGTTGACAATACCCGGAATTTATTTTTAACACACAAAAAAATCTATACCATTAAAAAACTTCAACGATATTTTATGAGCTTTCTTTCTTTTACTCTCTATAGCCATTGTAAAAATAAATACTAATAAAATGAGTTATTGTTGTTGCTGTTGTTTTATAAGTTTTCTATATCAAGTTAACAAAGATTTTCTAAAGCTATTGCAAAGTTAACAGTGTGATTAAGAATTAAGAGGACAGAAAGAAATGGTTCCACAGGAACAAATTAAATTTTTTCTATAGAAAAATATGCTGTAGTCTAGAGCTATTTTTTATATCGCTAAGAGTAATTTTTTAAAGAGAAAATTTGCTCTTGTCTAGATTAATTTCCTGGAGAAAAAGTTGCTCTAATCTAGAGCAATTGTGGATAGAAAACTTGAAGTGGAAATACAAAATTTTCTATAGAAAACTATGCTGTCGTCTCGAGCAATTCTCTATATCTCTCTAGCCAAGAGTAATTTTCTAAAGAGAAAAGCTGTTGTCTAGAGTAATTTTCTATAGAAAAACTTGCTCTAATCTAGAGCAATTTTCTGGAGAAAAACTTGCTCTAATCTAGAGCAATTGTGGATAGAAAACTTGAAGTGGACCTTCTGGGACAAATAACAAATTTTCTATAGAAAAGTATGCTATCGTCTAGAGCAATTTTCTATATCTCTCTAGCCAACAGTAATTTTCTAAAGAGAAGAGCTCTTGTTTAGAGTAATTTTCTATAGAAAAACTTGCTCTTATCTAGAGCAATTATCAATAGAAAACTTGAAGTGGGCCTTCTTGTACAAACACAAAATTTTCTATATCTCTAGCCAAGAGTAATTTTCTAAAGAGAAGAGCTCTTGTTTCTATAGAAAAACTTGCTCTAATCTAGAGCAATTTTCTGGAGAAAAACTTGCTCTAATTTATAGCAACTGTGGATAGAAAACTTGAAGTAGGCCTTCTGGGACAATTAAAAAATTTTCTATAGAAAACTATGCTGTTGCAATTTTCTATATCTCTCTAGCCAAGAGTAATTTTCTAAAGAGAAGAACTCTTTTCTAGAGTAATTTTCTATAGAAAAACTTGCTCTTATCTAGAGCAATTTTCTGGAGAAAAACTTGCTCTTTTCAAAAACAATTTCGTATAGAAAAATTTGCTCTAGTTCTAGAGCAGTTTTCATTAGAAAAACTTAGAGTATTCTAAAGCAAGTTGTAGAAAAGTGCTCTATTTAAGAGCAATAGGGAAATATGCTCTATATAGTTTTGTGAAGTTCTCCATAGGACAGCTTTTTCTAAACTCTAGAAAATTTTTTTTTGTTTCATAACTTTCGATCACACTTTAGAGCACATAATGTCAAAAAAAAAACTATTATGCTACAGGATTTTTATGATTTTGGTAGTATAAATAAAAAATTATATAAAAACTCGATAATTTTTTTTTATAACCCAGTTGTAATAAACCATGACAAAAACATTAATCAGGATTATTTACTAACCACTTTTGTCACATGCTAGCTGTATATACAAACACATAAACGCACATATACAAACATGGCTAGCAAAAATAAACAACTACAACTACTACAGCAACCAAAACTCCAATGATAAAATGACATGGTCATAATAGAAATTCTAATATATAACTAACACAATACCAACATACACAAAATCGCACCTAAAAGTAAAAATATCCCATATACCTTCTCATATTAACAAATAACAATACCTGTCAAAGTCATATACCAAAATATAAAAAAACAAAAATTGTGTAAATTTGTAGGGATTTGAAATAAATTGTACAACCTGTATGTTCAAAAACATGTGTGCTAGTTTTACCAAATAAACTAAACTGAACCAAATAACCAAACCAACCACATCAACCAAAGCAATCCACGAAACATTTTCCAGTGAATGTGGGTTTAGTTTTAGTAATGTCCATTGCAGTTTTTAACACACCTATGATTTTGTTTTTACTTGCTGTTGATGTCGTTGACATTCCCCAAAAAATGTTAAAGGTGTCAATAAAATAAGGAAAAATGTAAACAAACATCATCCTTATCGACTTCATGCATCGTTGTAGACAAGAAACCGGAAACGGTTATTTCCAAGCGAACAAAAACGAAAAAAAAACACAATATAAAATCAACCTGTAAAGAGTTCAAATGCATAGTAACTTATTGTTCCTTTTCGACATGGGTGTTCAATAACCAAAGGGAAAATAAAAGAATTTATTTGATGTGCATTCAATATTCTTTTCATCAAACTAGCTCTAATAAAAGGACATGTTGTCATCATTTACCCATTGCATTAGAAACAGAAAACGGAACTACAAATTTATTTATTTAAAGCGGATATTAATGGTGAAATGTCTTATTAAAGACAAAATTAAATGCTACTTAACTAACTGATATTAATAATAATGATAATGATCTTGTTTCTTTGTAGCAATGTAGTCGTTATACGATACTGGGTGGTCCTGTATCAATGATTTCCTTTGTTTGGGTTTCTTTTTAAAAGTTACTTCCTTTATTTGCTTTGAAACGAACGTATAATTTGTTTTCATTTTTTTTTTTCATTTCTCCATAAATTTATTTAATCTAATTTGAACATTGAGTTACTTCCTCGCTGTCTTTTAATTCAGTTTTCTTTATTTTCTTTTTGTTGTTGTTATCTTTGAGATTTTTCCATTAATAATAACAAGTTGATTTTACACTTAAATAAAAGTTTTGAAGTTTTAAAAAAATAATTTGGCAAAGTTCACATTACTTGCTCAAAAACTAAACTTAGTCTAAAACGATTTTCTATAGGTAAAAATGCTTTTGTGTAGAACATTATCTATAGGAAAATTTGCTCCAGTCTAGAGCTATTTTCTATAGGAAAACTTCCTCTAATTTAAAGATATGTTCTATAGTAAAACTTGCTCTAGTTTAAAACAATTTTCTATGAGAAAAACATTTTCTAGACTGGGAAAATTTGCTCTAGTGTAATGCAATTTTCTATAGAAAAATTGTCCTAGTCTAGAGCAATTTTCTATACCAAAAACCTTGCTTTAGTCTACAGCAAATTCAAATAAAAAAAATGTTCTGGTCTACTATTTGCAACATTTCAAATATCATTCTCCATATGCTTTGGGTCTCCAACAAAATTAAGTTTATTTTCAACTTATATTTCTGAGTGTAAATTAGTTCATACCACATCCACAAATCATAGATTATATGTGTGCGTATGTGTGGCAATACATATATATATTTTTTGTTACTACTCGCATGTTTTTACATTGTTTGTTGCTAACTCATTGGACATGATTACACATGTTTCCCGATTGTAAAACTTTTATTTTGCAATTTTTTTTGCTATATACTCCTTCCTTTAATCTGGCACTGATGACTGTCTCCTATACAGGAATGACTTATAAACGCTTGGATAAATTTATATATTTTTTTCTTATTTTCTAAGAAGGAAAAAAGCTTTTGTCCTTTGTCTCGCTTTTGCTGGTTTCGTTATTATTTTCTTTTCACTCATCAAACTTAAGAGAATTTTGTAGTATTTGTGTTTCTTTCTCACCCCTACCCATACATGCAAACATGTCCTTGGCATTACTTACAAAATTGAATATAATTCAATTGATTTAGAGTTTTTTGTTTGCTAAAGGAGGAAAAAACATCTTCGAAATAAATGGTTTTTGTGTCTTGTTCAACAAGACAAAATCTATAGTAAAACAAACATGCATCACTGAATCGGATTCAAGTTACAACAGTGTTTAACTTACAAGTAGATGGGAGTGTGTTAAAGGATAAAACGTATAGCTGAACAAGAAACCTAAAGATCATCAAAGAAAAACAATATCTGACTAACTTAACCCATTCTTTTTAGCATGTAGTATGTTTGTGGGCATGTATGTGAGTGTGTGTGTTATTAGATTTGGCAATATTGTTTATAGTCATGTTATTTTTCTTGTCTTTTTTTCGACTTTTCGCTCTAATGAACATTTTAATCGGAAAATAATCGACTACACTCAAGGAAATTACAGAATGGAAATAGTAACTGAAAATGTTAATCGTCTTAAATATAGCGTTGAACAAATTAAGCCTATTGTTGAAACTTGCGATAATCCAATAGATTTTGTGCATAATATTTGTTCAGAAGATATTTCCAAGTTTAGACCTCTTTGCTCGAAAATTTGTTTACAATTTTTTTAATATAACTTTTCTTTGTGTATTGCATTGATATTTTACATGTGTTTACAAATTGAATAGTTCTTGAAATCTGTTAAGGGAT